ACACTTCACTGTTTGTGTGATTTTCATGGTTTTCATACTATGAAGATTACATTGCTCGGTCACGAGATGCACCGAGATTTCTATCCATTTTGCACACTTCACGATTTGTCTGTAGTTTTCACTGGCAGAGCCAATGAAAATATTATAATCCCGGCGTCCCAATTCCCAAAGCCAATACCTCCCTTAATGTTATATCGTTAACCGCAATACCACTCCTAATAAAAAGCTACAATTATACTTTAACATAATGGTAAAATATTTAATTATATATATATATATATATATATATGGGAAAATAACATTTGACCGTCGAAATTGATTGGAGCTTATCTATGTAAATCTGACGACCAGATCATATGGAGCATACGATACTTCTGGAGCGTACGAGCTGAGCCGTCTCCATATCTAGATAATAAATAAAAGCCGAATGATGAAAACTGTTGCTCCATTTCAAATTTCCTGCAACGAGAGTGATTATAGGAAGGACATTTTTGTCTTCACAATTGCTTATTTTCTTATTTATTTATTCATAAAAAAGGCATGCACTGGGATTTGAACCTTGGTCTCTTTAAAGGCAAGCAAGGATCATAACCAATCACACTAAGTATATTTGTTGTATCTATTTAAATTCAAACATACACGAACCTAAATTATGAAAATCATATGACTTTTTAACGATTAGTTGGCCACTGAATCTCCCGTAAGTACTTATTTGGTGTTTTAATACTTTGATTATTTTAGTTGTAGTTTAATACTTAATTTAAATTTCTATCTATTTTATAAATATACAATACCCTAAAATTGCAGCCCAAATATCACTGGTTCGAATATTGCATATCGAATTGCAATATTAAACATGTAGAAGCAACATCGACTTCTTAAATTAATATTATTTTTCAGAATTACTATGGAGAAATTATATCTTTCTGCAAACTATATGAGACTGGTTCTTTTAATGTTTTAGTCGGGATAACCGCTACATTTTAAACTTCTTCATAATCTGGCATGATTGGATCCAATGATCATTATACAAGATTGTGTTTAATAGGGTGGCTCATTTCACCACTTTTTGGCGTGTTAATGAATTTGTAGGAAAATGACAGATCTACATCTACACTCATCACAATCTACACATCATATAAATGTGAAATGTGAAATGAGAAAAGAGGGATTCCATTTCAAATTTGATGCGTACAGAGCAATTTTTTAGGGGTAAATTTAGAAGATGCCAGTGCGGTCGGTCTGTTGAGCACGAAAGTAAAAATATGTTTTCATTTAAACGGGCCCAAACTGTTATTTGGCCCACTAATCGTGCACCCATCGCCAATGCAGTCAAATTCGGGATTTTGATCGTAAAATCGTAGGATTTTAGGATTTTACTTAGGGATTCCGATCTTGATTTTACTATAAAATCGGTGGACCTTAAAATCGTTTAAAATCGGGACTAAAATCGTTAAAATCGTAAAATAGTACCGAAATCGGGATTTTGATCGTAAGAGAACAAAATAGGTGGTTTGAGCCAATTTAAAATAAGTATAACTGTTTCAGCGGAAAGGGCAATGGAATCTTCTCAGATATTTTTCTATTAGAAAATATTCAAAAATAATAAAAATAACCAAATTAGGGTTCGGTTAATCTCTTTCCCTTCACCCCATTTAACTTATTGGTAAAACACTTGTCCTAATATTGGAAGTATGTAAGAACTAACATCATTATTAACTAATTAATTTATTAATGAATATATTCGTACCAAGCCACTAACATTACTTATTTTATTGGAGTTCAATTATTTTTAGTTTTAAATCATACTTAGTAGACGATGTCGAAATATTACTTTGAGTTAAACAACCTAGACATAACATGAAAATAAGAGCCAAACCCATGAACTATATCCCTTCATCATGAATTATTTTGAGTTACACATTAAATAACAATTAAAATAGTGATTTTGGAACATTAATCTTGAGAATTATCTTATGAAAAAAAAATCTTCTGAATTATCATTTTAAATGCTATGTGATATTAATAATTTACCTTATTAATATTCTTATATGCTATGTTCTATATGGTACTTAAAATCCTACGATTTTACGATTCGATTATACGATTTTGATTTTACCCCAGTTTTCGATTTTAGGTAAAATCTCGATTTTAACTGCTTTGCCCATCGCAGCCTCTCCAAATCTTCCTATTCTACTCGCCGGGTCATCTCCTCCACTACAAAATATCTCCTCATGTACTCAAAGTTCTCACTGAAACCTAATATCTACAACTTAGGCGCAGAGGGAGCAACCGATGGATCGTAGCGACCCCCACTATTTTGATAGCTAATCAAGAAGAGCGTGTTTGTTTAGTTGTATGGTGATTCACTTAATTAACAATTTTTATTCCGTTGACAGCCTCCTCTCCGCAATTGTATTGTGTTCACGAAGATCTGAAGGCGCAAGTGCAACAGGTCCAGGGGTAAACAATATGTATAAAGCGTTGGCCAAATTGAATTGAGTCATTCTACTTGGAATATGAAGATTTTTGCTTAATTGTTTTGGTTCGTGATGCAACTATGTTATGTTTGAAGGTAGACCAACGCAAACAACAGCACAGCTCCAGGGCTATTCTGCACATTAGGTAGTTGGGGCATTAATTGATAATTATTTGGGATTATTCCTACAAGTACATAATTTGGAACGTGCCTTTATATTGCATTGATTAATAGTTATTTGAGATTTTTCAAATGAGTGATTTGACATGTTAAACTCTCTTATTTTTGAAAATGGAGTCTTCGAAGTGGAATATGAAGATTTTGGATTAAGCTTGGTTTCGTAACGCCCTTATGGGTGTTTATTCTCTAAAATGCAGCTGTCTTTCAAAGTGCCCGTTGCAAATGGCAAGTCAGGATACAACGATGGTACCGGTACACGTTTATATCATTAGTAGGTAGCAGATTGTGTCCATTCTACTATATCATTTAGCTAAATACTTAGTTGTTCTTTTCAACTAAAAATTATGCTTAAATGCTGTGATTGCCCTCAGAAATGTATGTCTTTGCATTAACTGTTAATGATTGTGAGTTTTGGTTTAATGGTGAAAAGTCCATTTATTTAGAAGTCTAAATTGGGCAAACCTATTGGACAATAGGAATGCCATACATTAGTGTCGTGGGAGGTTTGTTTGATGTCTCAGTGTGTTAGATTTTTAAGAAGGTTGTTTGTTGTGGCAGAGAGTCCCTAAAGTTAGCGAGGTATTCCTATGTGGGCTTTTTCTTTGTTTGACTTTTTCTCGCCTTTTTTCTTATCTCTTTTTCTATTTTTGGTTTTTGTGTGCTACCTTCAGTTGCTACGTCTTCATTTGTGAGCCATCTATACTTTTCTTATTCAGTGCCTAAAAATCATATATACTCGATTGCATAGTAGTTACTAATAGATACATTTATACCAATAGAGAGATTTTAAGTTTTATCAGTTGTTAGTTTTAATATTTACTTACATTGGTTGTTTATATAGTTTTCTTTGTAATATTTCTCATTATACAACTAATTACTATGGCTACGTAGTTGTATAAGTGGGGGTTGGACATGATAGTTCTTAGAAGCATCAATACTTGAAGGTTATTATAATGATCAAATTCTAAAGTTATGGTTTGCCTTCAACTTGCTTGGAGCATTTCAATTATGCATCAATTGTTCTCTCCGTGTAGTTAACTCTCAGACAAATCGAAAATCTTGCTGATATGTGCTTGATTGTAGTTAAATTTAGGGTTCTACTGCATTGTTGCTTTACTCTTTTTTCGTGGTTGAGTTTGCTTCAAAAAATTTAGTTTGATTTTAGAAAATTTTGCTTCTGCAGTCCTGTCTTGCCACCAACGCGTTCAATAGATGGAGACGGGAGAGGCGAAGGCTATTTTTGTGTTGTTGTTGCTGGTTTAGGGATCGGTTTGTGAAGAAGAGGGAGAAGAGAGGGGGAAAGGGAAATGCAGGAGAGGGGGATAACTCTTTTCTCCGACAAAAATGGAGTGAAGAAAGGAATTATGATCGGTAAGAATATGGTTATCTTATATAACGGTCTCTATTCTGTTTGAATTGAGCTTGAGAGGCAGTGATAAGGACGAGCTGCAACCAATTCATAGTGAGAAGAGAGCTATGAACTGTGATCATGTCTTATTTCAAGTTAGAAAGTAGTTTCAGTATAAGGATTATTTAATTTGACAAGTTGTTTCATCCATGATTCTTGGTAGTTTCAGTGCCATTCTAGCCAATGTTTAGTCTGTAATTTTTTAGAATTGATGTGCGAGTAATGACTTTCACTTAGCTTCAACTATTATGTGTGTATTTATTGGCATGTGATAGAATTCTCTTTTCCTTTTCATTGAATTCATTTTCATACTCTAATTGTATTATTTGTACATAGGCAAATCATGCTCGAGATGGCAACTCGCTGATATGGCTGGTGCAAGGAATGAAGCCATCATTAGAATTCAGACCGACAACGGGGAGGGATGCCCAGGACTAATTCAATGATGATTGATGATGGTATAATAAAAACTGCAGTCTGCATCAGCACCAATTTCTAGGCCTAAGTAAAGGTATTCAACCCAGAACTCTGCTTAGCGCTAAAAATTGCCCTCACCCAACCTTGATCCTGTTTGACCCACTTCTGAAGAGTAAAGATATATGACTAATCCTCCCCGTTCGTATTTTCTTATTGACTCTTTCTAACCCTGTAGGTTGGGGCGGGTCGGGAAGAATTGGATTAGTGGGTCGGTCCTAATCAAGTGGAATCCCAATCCCTTCACTCTCACTTGCCTTCTCTCCCATTCCACAAGTGTGTAACATACAGTAATCCGGCCAACGGGCCGGGTAATATGCTAGTATATTATATTTTACGAGATAAAAAATAGTAAAACCGGACGGAAAGGTTGCATCAGTGCCGTTCCCCCACCTTTAGCCATCTTTTTCTTCCACTCCAAACAAAACTTCGGTGTCAAAAGTTTGCATCAAATGGGATGGACCAATCATCATCGCCGCTGTCCTCCTCAAGCTTCCACTAGCGAAGCCGGCAGATTCAGAAACAGTTTTTCATTCACTTGCCTCTTCTTCTCACCTCCCCTACTTCTACCCATCTCCACTACTGGCATAAAAACAAACCCAAAAAGCAGAGGCCGGAACTTGATCACAATATGGCTCAAAGGCAAAACGGTGCCAGGCTAGTGTTCCCCGTTGACTTGAAGAAGAAGCCATGCGAGCAGAAGCTCCCCCTCCACAACCGTTGGCACCCCGACATCCCTCCGGTGGCTGACGTGGTTGCCGGAGAGCTTTTCCGGGTGGAGATGATGGATTTCAGCGGCGGCCGTATCACTCAGGAATTCTCCGCTGAAGACATCAAATACGCTGACCCTACTAATGTGAGTTCTCAAAAATAATGTCTTTCTTTTTCCCCCCTTAATCTTCCGAGTCTTGAGCTTTAGCTTTGGTTTGTGAAGTAGTCTAATTTCATTTGGGAACCCCATTACCCCAATCATAGTTCAAAGAGAAAAGTCTGTGATGGGTCACTTTCACTGCAAGAAATGGTGGAAGTCGATTTTTTTTTTTTTTTAAAGTTTTGTCATCTACAACTCGAACTGGAGAAAAAAGGGTAAAGAAAAAAAAACTCTCCATTTGTCTCATCCTCAATTGTACCTTGACAAAACACAGAGACCACCAAAAACAGAAAGAAAGCCAACCAGGCTTCCTAAAGCCATTGATTGATTGTCTTTTTTGGGGGTCAGTCATGGCTCCATCGACACCAAGGTTAGTAATTCCAGTAGATGTGAAGAAGCAGCCATGGGAGCAAAACCCACCTCTTCACAACCGCTGGCACCCTGAAATCCCACCGGTTGCAGAGGTTAAAGCCGGCGAATTTTTCAGAACTGAGATGGTAGACTGGACTGGTGGGAGCGTTAGGGATGATGAATCCGCCATGGATATCAAAACCATAGACCTTTCCTGCGTAAATTGAACATGAGCCTCTCTCTCTCTCTGGCTATTCTACTCGAGCTTTTGATCAAAACCCTTGCAAGAATTCCGGAAAAAGGTCAAAATTAGATGTGGAGTTGTTTCTTTCTGGTGTGCAGGTGCATCATCTCAGTGGACCGATCAGGGTTGTGGATGAAGATGGTGTTCCAGCGAAGGCAGGAGATCTTCTTGTCGTGGAGATTTGCAACTTGGGTCCTCTCCCTGGGGATGAATGGGGCTATACGGCAACATTTGATAGGGAAAACGGCGGTGGTTTCCTCACTGATCATTTCCCCTGTGCAACGAAAGCCATTTGGTACTTTGAAGGCATTTTCGCCTATTCTCCTCACATCCCAGGTGGGCACTGAAAGCTTTGTTTTTATTGCTCTAATGACCGTGAATTTGCATCACATAAAGTGAGTATTTGGTTTCTGCTACCGAGTCAGGAGTGAGATTTCCGGGACTGACTCACCCTGGAATCGTTGGGACTGCACCTTCAATGGAGCTGCTCGAGATTTGGAACGAAAGGGAAAGAGATGTTGAAGAGAATGGGCATAAAACTCTGCCACTGTGTAAGGTTTTGCATTCGAGACCACTGGCTAATCTCCCATCCTCCACAGGCTGCATGCTTGGAAAGGTTTTTTCTTTTTTTCAGCTCCACCTTTTCGTTCTTTTTCATTTGGCTGCATAAAACTTGAAGCAACTTTTGTTTCATGGTTGTAGATCAAAGAGGGCACTCCTGAATGGGAGAAGATGGCGGCGGAGGCAGCAAGAACGATTCCAGGGAGAGAAAATGGTGGCAACTGTGATATAAAGAACCTAAGCAGAGGTGCAAAGGTGTACCTTCCTGTGTTTGTAGAAGGAGCAAATCTTAGTACAGGGGACATGCATTTCTCCCAGGGTGATGGGGAAGTCTCCTTCTGTGGGGCTATTGAGATGAGCGGTTTCTTGGAGCTCAAGTAAGTAGTTGGTCCAGCTTTTGTTGACCATCATTTCTTATGCAGTTTAAGCTTATGTGCTATTAGGAGATAAGGACTTCGGCTCTCTGGTTTTCCTTTTCAGGTGTGACATAATAAGGGGAGGAATGAAGGAGTACCTTACACCAATGGGGCCAACTCCGCTCCATGTGAATCCAATCTTCGAGATTGGGCCTGTCGAGCCTAGATTCTCCGAGTGGCTGGTGTTCGAAGGGATCAGCGTGGATGAAAGTGGAAAGCAGCATTACCTTGATGCAACTGTTGCATACAAGAGAGCCGTGCTCAATGCTATCGATTACATCTCTAAGTTCGGCTACTCGAAAGAACAGGTTTGTTTCCACAAAGAAGCATTTTGCCCTAGTAGAGTTTAATATGTACCCTAGACATTGTGTTTGATGCGAAGAATTGTGTGGGGTTTCAGGTATACCTTCTTCTCTCATGTTGCCCATGTGAAGGAAGGATTTCCGGGATTGTGGACTCTCCTAATGCTGTTGCAACCTTAGCTATCCCAATAGCCATATTTGATCAGGTTTGTGGCCGTGGATCTGTGAATGGTATGTGTATAAAATGCATTGCTTTCTTGGTTCTGGATTTAAGTTATTGATTGCACATTCAGGATATTCGACCAAAACCAAGCAAAGTGCCAATGGGACCAAGGATTGTGAGAACACCAGATGTTCTAAAGTGCAGTTACGATGGGAATCTGCCCATCACAAAGAACCTCAGTGCAGGCAAATAACTGTGAAAACTCTGTTGAAACTGCATTACTATAAATAATCTTCCAAGTTGAAGAAGACGCTTAGAATGGCTGTACGGGAGAACGACGCTTGTTTGATGTGATGCCTTTAATTTTCTACTTGAAAACAGAACTTTTCATTTCGCAACAGACTTCATATGTATCAGCAGTAACCATTTGGAATGATAATAGGAATCAGAACAAGGAATAGCAAGATAACCATATGCCTTGGATAATACGCTATCACCTGAATGTTTCATGTTACTAAACAGCATAAAATAGAAGGATTCCGTTGATTAAAAGAGAGAGGAGATATGATGAGGGGATATCATGGGTTAGATATCTCATTTTCTAAGTACTCTCTAGAGACAAAACTTTCATATTCCTCTACCAATTTTAGTCGATGAAGGTGCTATTCTAGGTACTAAGAAGACACCAAGCTAGCTATCATCAGTAGTATATTGAGAGAGTTCTGTGGTGTTGTAGAGAGGGGCGTTGAACGCCATAAGCCCACAGCCACAGATCCAATTCCACCGTCAGCACCTGCAAGAAGAGCAGATCTCGATTTTCATTACAATATAAGAAAATTTGTAACCAAGATGGAATCAGGTCCGCATGATCAGTCAACAAAAGTAACCTGCTTTCCGGATTTGAGACGAATTAAGTCTCTCATCTTCTCGACAGCATATATGGAGCAGGCCCGTAACTCAACTTCCTCTTCACTTCCAGCAGCAATCTCGCTTTCGGAGTCAATCATGGTAGCAAGCTTAGAATGATAAATTAAAACTCCAAGCTCCCTTAGAACAGCAGGAACTATGTAGTCAGCAAATATAGTTATTGAGGTTATGTCATGGAAATCTCCATATCCCTGGCCCTTGAACGCACCAAACAGATCCGCTGTAAATATCTGAGCTCTTTTGTAGAAGAACACTTGGTGCCCTTTGTAAACCGAATGGTCTCTGAAGCCTGAATCAATCAAAACCCAATTTAGGCGAAGTTGTTGGGTTCTGTAATCCTTACCCAACATTACAACAACCAAAACAATCAGGCAAATGGGAAAATGTGAAAGAAGAAAAGTACCAGGAAAGTGACTGGTAATTGTAGCAACAAGCATGGAAGCTGATTTCTCACAGGACTTCACCAGGTTGGAAGCCTTACCACCGAAACTTCTTTCCAGTTCATATCCAACCTATTTGTTACAAAGTTTTTGGCATGAAACAGGTATGTTTTAGTCATGGAACAAGATAGTGCAACAACATTCAGAAATGGGGCATCCATTCTACCAACAACAAAAAACAGAAACGGTGCATCCAAGTAGGATTTCAAATGCCAAGGCTCACCTCATGCAGCAAACGGACCCGCTCATCCTCCAAAGGAAGGGGCCTTGGCCAGTTCAGCAATTTGCGCAATTCAGGACCTGAGGATAGTAACAGAAGGTACCCGTCAAAAGAATGGGATTGTAACTTTAAAGTTTACCCCCTTTTATCCAGGAAAGGGGCATTAGTTCCCCACTTAGCAGCCAAAACATGTACAATGTTCCTCTATTTAGGTTAAGTAGCTACCAGGAGCTCCAACAAGTACCGGAAAAACAAATCTTGATTGAACCTATATTTGCCCAATGAATTCAATCTGCTCATGGTTAAACTTGATATTGGTTCGATGTACTTTTATCTTCAACAAATAGTGCAGCCTAGTACTTGAAGCCATTAACGGTATGTGGACCACTCAGATAAACAAAACAAAGGGCCAGAATAAACTTCACTAAGGGCAGCAAGCAAAAGAGGTGTACCAGTGTACTTTTGCAGTCGATCAGCATCAAATACGGATTTGTCATTCTCCAGAGCTGCCTTCAACCCAGAAGCCAGATCATCATAGTTTAAATCCTTATCTATACAAAAAGGGGGATCATTTCCAGAATCAGGACATTGGAACTTTCTCAAGTCTGGTGGCATTAGGCGGCATTATACTGAGACGGAAAAGGGGGAAAAGGATCAAACACCAAAGTAAAATCTTTTTAACCAAAGGACGGGAAGGGAGCATTCACCAGGCCAGAAGCAAAAATTAAGGGCGTCGAGGACAAAGAGGTACTGAACGGTGAGAGGGCCGTCGTCAAAATAGTGAATCCCTTCGAAATCCCATTCTATCTTGGGAATTTTGTCGTGCATGTTGTCTGCAACTCTTTCAATCGCTGCGGCAATAATAAAGAAAATAAAAACCACAGGTGAAAAAAAAAACACAAACCGACGGCCATTAGGCCATTCTTTCCCTAACCCATCATTACAAGAAAGATTAACGAAAACCCAAACGCAGAAAAGATAACAGGCGGCCATTCTCGCAAACCTTCAGAATCGACGGTGACGTGAGACGAGCGAGCGGCGACCCAAGCCGCGCTAGCCCTAACCTCATCCATTGCCATGCCCGCCAACGCCGCAGCCATAGCCATCGTCCTCTGCGGCTGCTGTTCAGAAACAGAGTTCCCCTGCGTCGGCGCGCGAGCAGGCTGAAGCAGCGGTGGCTTATAAGGAGGAGGGTTTGTTGTGGAGTTTGAACTTTGAACCCTACGGGAGAGTTTATTAATGTGGAGGAGAGTAGAAAAATTAGTAATTAATAATAGTAAAATTAGTGGGACGTGGAAATATCAACGACACCAGGCCCCATTGCAATTTGCAACTAGTATAAAGGCAAAATCGTTTCGAAGTTTCCCGCTTTTCCTCTACCGTTTTCGGTGGGATGGCCGTCCTGCTGTCCTCCTCGTCGTCCTCGTCCTCTATCTGCGGAAGCTCTTCTGAGCCACGTAATTTCCCAGTCTCTCTCGTTTTGCTTATTTTCTTTTCTTTTATTACTTTTTTGGATGGATAGGCCAATGGCAGTTGAGAATAATAATTATAAAGATAAAATTAAATTGGGTCGTTGAGCTGTTTGTTTTCTTCACGTGTGGCGCGGGCGCCAATTGGATTCCTCTCGCTTTTTTTTTTGTTTTGTTTTTTATAAAAATTCCTCTCGCCTTTTTTTTGTTTTGTTTTTGTTTTTGCTTGCTTCCTCTCGCTCTCACATTCTTTTATTTTCATTTAATTTTTGGGACTCGGATTAGACCGAGTTGCCAATTGAAAACCCAACCCAACTTCAGAGTTTCCGGAACTTAATGACAACTCATGGCCTCAAAAATAAATGGGCTCGTTGTAATTAGCTTTTTGACAAAGGGAAAACTTGCATTGCACTTTGAATGATCAATTACAAGAGAACCAACAGAGCAAACCAAAAATAGAACAAGGACAGAAAAACTAAAGCACATAGATGCTCAATCTGAGCTTCAGATATACAACAAGAAGAGCACCAAACCCAGAAGGAGCTATCCAACAAAGGATCTGAAACACTTGAACCAGAAGTAGTAAATACCGAAAGCTCTCTTGCAATCAAAACAAACAAAGTAGCACCAAGCGCAATCAGCTCGTCCGATCTGACCGAGTCCATGACGATTGAACACAATGCCATAAGCCGCCTCCTGGGAGTCGCTCAAAGACGCTCAACACGGTGAATCACGGGTGAGAGATTACATGGCGGTGGACAGAGAAGAGGATCGAAATGCTCCGAGCTGAAGAGGCAGGGGAAGACGAGGCTCCAAGACTTGGTCAAGGGAAGCAGAAGAACCCAGATCCTCAGATCAAAGAACTGAACCCACGAGCAGCAAGGTTAGACTCTGCAATCCATCCTTCGTCGGCCACCTAGATGCATAACAACCACCTGGGAAGAACGAAGGGGAAAACCAGAGAATCGATTCACCACAAAAGCTGATAAACCGACCATCATGAGAGAAGACCCAAGTTGCATAACCAAGCCCCAAAGGAGAGCAAATCCCAACAAAAAGCAGAGTGGAAAACATCAAAATCAAAAACAATGAAGCAACTAAAGGAAGAAAGGAAAGAGGATGGGCTACCGCCGGTCACCAAGAGATGTCGGCGGCATCCCTGGGGAGCTTCACGGAGAGGGGAAAGGTAGAGAGGGATGAGAGCAAATTTTTGAATTAAAGTTAGAGAGAGGGGTCAATGGAAGGAGTTGTGACGATGCTCGTTGTAATTAGCAATGGCGGATTTTTTAGGTCATAAAAGGTCATTTATTCTGTGTCAATCGAGTGTCAATCGGGCGGGTTCGAGAAGGACCCAATTGAGTTATGGAGTAATCGAGTTATGGGTCATTTAGGTCAGGTTTATTTAATTGCATTAGCTGTCATTCTAATTAAACCTACATTTCACGTTTTCCCAAAACAAACCCGACTCGTACACATATATAAGATAAATGTTATATTAAAAAGCCTTAGCTCCATGATTCTCTGAGCGACGATTTTTGTACAAAAAAAACCTTGCGCTAGGGTTTCTTGAATGATAACGGGTTGACAGCGATGTCGTCCCAGACGCGGATCAGAGCAGAGAAACCCTCGGATAAAACAAGCAGGATTCGGCATCCAGCGATAGTCACCTCCTCCCCGAATGGCAAAGGAGAGAGGGAGCTACCCAACCCAAAAAATGAGTTTGAGGGCTAAACCTGGGCGTGAAGGGCTTGCCTCGGAAGGTGGAGCGCCGACTGAGATGGAGGCAGAGGAATCCTCAAATCTAGGCAGAAAGCCGGCGAACGCTGCTAGTTTTGCTGCATGGGGCAACGAAACACGTAAACTGTTTAGTGAAGTCATCCAACAAGATAATTGATATGTGGCTGAATAAGATTCGGAAGAAGTTGTTGAGGCGGAAAGGGAAAAGAATGACTATATTGATGAGGAACACTATGACCCTCTTTGCACGCCTGTCCTTTTCATGGCTGCAGAGAAGACAAGACGGAGAAGGGAATGGCAATCTGCCCTCATTGTGAAAGGCCTAGCACGTAACGTGCCTTTCCTTCCATTGTTGAAGAGATTACATAGCATGTGGGCAAAGAACGGAGACCTCTAAATCTCCGATATGAAGAATGGTTGTTTTCTAGTCCGGTTTTGCCACCAAGCAGATTATGAAATGGTAACTAATGTAGGTCCATGGTTGTTGGGGGACACGTACCTCACACTGACTAGATGGTTTAAAGGTTTGAAAGTCTGTGATTAATGGAGGTAAAAAATTGTGTGGGTTCAGCTCCCAGACCTCCCATTGAATTCATCAACAAAGAAGCAGTTCTCAAAATTGGGGATCTGATCGGCAATCCTATCCGTGTAGATTGAGCGACAGAGTGTGGTGTTAGACGAAAATTCGCAAGGTTGTGTGTTGAGGTGGATTTAATGAAACCGCTCCTCTCTAGATATAAGGTGGAAGGCATTGAATACATTATCCAGTATGAAGGGCTAGAGAACATATGTACGAATTGTGGGGCGTATGGGAAACCAACGGATCTATGCAAATATCGGGATATGCACACTAATGGTGATGAAGATGAAGAGGAAGTTGTGCCGAAAACCCAAAAAGAGGAGGTTTCTAAGGGGATTTGATGATGGTCAAGAAAAGGAGAGAAGGCCAGTTCGAATTGCCAATAATCTGGAGGCAAGGGGGGAGTCCAAGAAACAAGGAAAAAGGGGCAAGTCGTATAATAGGTTCAATATTCTGCATGCGGAAGGGTATGTGCATGATAGCCTGGTTAAAAGGGAGAGAAATCATGTCCCATTGTCCCCCCCCCCCCCCAACTCATCCCATGCAGTAAGATGGCTCAATGAGACAAAGTAAGGAGGAGGTTGGTGTGAAAAAGAGTGGAAAGTTAGGAGAGAATGATTATACGAGCAATGTAATTTCACATAGCGAGGGTGTTGGCCCAAAACCCAAAGGGAACTAGTCACTGGTGCAACGAACCTGTCTACTAAGATGAAGGGTATGAATTCGATTAAGTAATATCCTAATCAGACACAAGAGAGCTGAACCCGCCAAAAGGCCAAAGCAAGAAGAATCAAGGAGGAAAGCAGGGTGTCTAAGGAAAAGAAACGGGGCAGGATAGAAGAAAGGAAAATAGAGCTACAAGTCCCAGTAAACCGACCTTAGTACAATTGGACAAGAATATGAATAATGGCGCAGGGAGCCTATCCCCTTCGAGTCATTAATGAAGATTCTTTGTTACAACTGTCAGATATTGTTTTTCCCCAGATGAGAGGTGATTCGGGCTTAATTATACATATGTATACCCCATTTTCTTGAGCGTTTAAAGTGTTCGCATCGCCCGAGGTTCGATTTTACGCTAGGTTTGTGCATGTTTTAGCATGTTTCAGGATTTAGCAGGTGGAATTGCCTCGGGAGTGAAAGTTGAATGAAAGAGGGCGAAAGCAGCGAAATGAACAAAAAGGCTAAAGTCACGGGCAAGGGGAGATTCTTATAGGCGGGAGACCGTGAAGATTTTCCTATGACCATGAAGATCGACAACTTCCAAGAGCATTTGCACGCCTCACAGACAAGTCAATTGTCACAGTCAGTCGACCGTGACAATTCTGCCCCGGCCGTGAAGATGTTTATTTAAACAGTACATTTTATCCCGACATCACGGGCAGACCTCCAAGATCACGCCCTTGACATTTGACCCTGACATCTGGCCGACTGGTTTATAAAAGGAGGAGAAAGCTAAAATCAAAGGTGGAGAGGAATCCTAGTGAGAGAAAGATCTTCTTCTTCAAAAACTAGAGAGAGAAACTAAAAAACAAAGAGAGAAGAAGAGGATTAGGGTCTGCACAAAGTTAGATGAGTGAAGATTTTCACCTCTCAAGGGAGTTTTCAATATCAAGGAAGGAAGACAAGCATTCCACCATGGCTCTTTCTCTCTTCTTTGTTGTAATCCCTAGCCTAGCTATGGAGTAGTGTCCCTTTTCACTTGGGTATTGTGAATCATAGCTTTAGATATGTGATAGATTGTATGGATTGAATGCTATGTGTGTGAGTTTGTGTTTAATGCAAAGTTTGAGGTATTTTCAGAATTCTTGAGTTGTGTTCTTCATTTCTCATAACCATGTCAAATTGATGTAGGTGGAAGGAATCCCCTTTTATTAGAGGCTTTGAGGAGTTGGATTTTTTGGCCATTTGAGTCACCCATCTGGGAAATTTAGGGCAAGCCTCAAACTTCGATTTAGCACCTTGATTGGTTGTTATTTTGCCGTTCGGATTAAGTTCCGAGGGAGTAGCCTTTGCTACCCTTAGTTGATTGGCCAATGAGCTAGTTCCCTATCTTAATTTGATATTCCTTGGCCTATCATCCGAGAGAGAGAAGTTTCTTCACTAGTTTTCGGATTTCATAGGGATAAGGCCATATTCTTTTTAGAACAGAAAGATAGCCCACTAAAAGAGCAAGCTCCTTACGGTGTATGAGCACACCTTTACACATTTATATTATATTTGGTCGATCTTGATATATAGTTAGGGGGAGCAATACTCGGGTGAATTCCTCTCTTTTTAGAATAACCTCGATTTACAATTTTTGCTATTTACAATTGTAGTTCTTCAGCTTTTAGACTCTAAACTTGTAGCTACTAGCTAGACAACAATTCAAGCGATTGAAGTAGGAGTACATGTACCGCCTCGGGTTAACAATTAAAATGTTTGCCATATACTACACCCTTCTAGAGTTTTCACTTGGGCTTTAGTCAAGAGGGAAGAAAATAAATTGAAAATTGGTTTTCTTTTTTACATGGACCGCCCTCAATCACAATTTTTTTAGACCTGGGCTCAACCGAATATTTGTCTTCTGTTGTCGGTGGGTCAAACAAAAATTTTTTTTTTTTTTTTGCTTCAGTACAATTGTTACTTTTCCTAATTAAAATTTTAAAATTTATAATTTA